GCTGATTTAGAGTAACCGGTGGCTTGCATCTTATTCGAGATAACTTCCAAGCGTGAAGGTGGAGATTGTCGAGGCGGCCGTAAAATATGTCCGTTTTCGGTTGTCTCAGTAAGTCGTGACGTGAGTTTCAGAGGTTCTTCCACTAGGAGGTGTAGTAACCTTGGAAACCAAGCCCTGTTTGGCCATGCCGGGGCTATGAGAATTATGACACAGTCTGTCTCCTCTATTTTCTTCAGTACTCTGTCTAGAAGAGCCCATGGGGGGAATGCGTACGCAAACATTCCCTCCCATTCCATAGAGAGAGCGTCGACCTGGAGAGTTAGCGGGTCTGGTACAGGGCTGATGTAGACTGGTAGTTTGTTGTTGAGACATGTGGCGAATAGATCTAGGTTTGGAGTATCCCATAGGTGGGTTATTCATTTGAATACTTCGGGATGTAGTGACCATTCCGTGGGTACTATCTTGTTTTTCCGGGATAGGTAATCTGCTAGGATATTTAGCTTGCCCGGTATATGTCTTGCTTCGATCCTGCAACTCACTGAGTCTACCAAGGCAAATAAATGTGTAACCTCCTTCAATAAAGGCTGAGACTTTGTGCCCCCTTCACTGACGAGTGGTGTATAGACGATCTTGCCATGCTTCTAAGGCTAGATATATCGCTCTCATTTCTAGACAATTGATGTGTAACTCCTTTTCTTGGAAGGACCATTTTCCCTGTAGGGTAACATCGTCCATATGGGCACCCCAATTGCAACCCTCTCCTGATGCATCTGTGTAGAGTTGATGTAGGGTGGTGGGATATGTGAGTGGAATACCTGGCATGACATTTCGACGAGTCAGCCACAAATGAAGTTCTGAGATTCGAACTTGTGGAGGTTGGATTAAGGCTTCCAGCTCTAGATTTTTGGTGGTATTCATCCAATTCTGCAGGGGCCGTTATTGTAGTCTGCCTCTGTAGGTTAGATCTTGGATAGATGTGAGTGTGCCGAGGCAAGACATCCACCAGCGTCTCGATTTGATGGGCTGATCGAGTGCGCTTGTTATCATGTGTTCTACTCTTGCATATCTGTACTCTGGAGGTGTTGAGTAGAAATCTTGCGCCTATGTAGGTGATGTCCTGTGTGGGTACTATTTCTGATTTTTATGGTGAACCAGGAATCCTAAGTGTGTTAGTAGTTGAATGAGGCACACTGTATTTGATCTGATTTGCGATTTGTGCTGATCGTCCGATAGGAAATCGTCTATGTATCCATGTAGCCTTATGAGCTTTATATGGGCGAATCCGATGATGGGATTGGTGATCCTGGTGAATAACCATGGGGCAATAGATATGCCGAATGGAAGTACCCTGAACTGGTATCTCTGACCGTTGACTGCGGAGCGTAGATAACGACGATGACTTGAATGGATAGGGATGTGAAGATAGGCGTCTTGGAGGTCTATGCTTATCATTCAATCTGCTTGTCTTAAGGCATTCTTCAACTTCTTAATAGATTCCATCTGAAAACTGGGTGGTTTTTCCAGATAATCTTTGTTCAGGACTTTTAGATCTATGATTAATCGCATCTCTGAAGAATTCTTCTTCGGTACCAGGAATACTGGGGAGTAGAATCCATGAGTGGTGTCTGACTCCTTTAAGATGCTGATAGCTCCTTTTGCAAGTAGTTTTTGTAATGGCCACTTCTGCTGCAATTAACTTCGGTCCTGATAGCTGGAATCGGGGTCCGGTAGGATGGATGACTAGTCTTGGTCGCTTTGAGAAGTGAAGTTTGTAGCCTCTTCTTACTACTTCGAGCAGCCATGAGTCGTCTGTGATGGTCTTCCAGTTGTCTGCGTACTGCATAAAACGACCTCCGACTGGTCCCGGGATAGGATGGATGCTGAGCTTGGGTAGTCTTTGGTCGATGTCTGTGAGACCTGCTAGTTCGACTGGTTTCAATATGGTTGCACTTTGATCTTCTGTAGTTCTAAATCGTTGTCCATTGGGCAGGCGATGTCGGTAGGATCTGAAGGGGTCTGTAGATTTCTGGTTGAGTCATTTCCGGCGGTATCCCCCTCGGAGACTGCCTCTGCCTCTGCTTCGTCCTCTCTGCGAAGTGGGATGATCATCTTTTGAGTTCCTATACTTGGGTTGAAACGATCTGTCCTTCCATGTAGAGGCTCGAAAAGAATCCCGACCAGGATTCACATGACGAGATCTAGGATTCTGTTGTTGATGCTGAATATCTGCAGGCCGTCTCTATATCCTGGATGGCAATGAGATCGTGGATTCTTGAAACTTCTGACTCGTTGACGATGCTTGGCTTCCTTCACTGACTTCCGTCTTCCTTTGAATATCTGCAATGCTGTAATAGGCTGTGATAGCATGGATCTTCTTAATGGCTCTGGGATCATATGATGAACTCGCTGTAGTAGATGTTTTCTTTGCATGAGCAGGAACTGTGCTGACATTCAAACTTGTGCTGATTGAAGATCTTCCTGCATCTTCAGCATGTGGTAAAGTGAGCTGTGAATGAATCCGGTCTGCTGTAGTGTCATCTCCGCGGGGGTGTCTAAGGGTAGACCTTCGCTCTGGTTGTTTAGGGGTATGACGTGGCAAACTCCAGCTGCAATCCAGTTAATGTATGAACTGATATTAATAATCTGTTTGTTGATGTAGTCTAAGTCCCTGATTTTGGCCATGTCAAGGTGCATTTTGGTGTTAGGTTACTTAACCAGATCATAGAAATCTTCATCAATACTCGGCTGTTGTGCGAAGGGGGCATCGTGTGTCCTGTAAGCACTCTTATTAATGGCAGGCATACCCAGTCTGACATTATGCGCCGATGAAGCGTTCAATGAATCTTCAATTTTCTTGATGACGTCATCAATATATGACGGACAAGGGAGGGTATGGAATTCTTCAGTCTTGCTGACAGGTTCTTCATACCGGGCACGTTCTAACAAAGGTTTGACGGGCGTTTTGTCTTTGTTATCTGGTTTTAAGGCGGGCATTAGATTATAAAGTTCTGCAATGATATCTTTAATGGAATGATTATTTAGTCTATAATTATCCTCCGTAGTAGAGTCCCCATTGCATGAAGAACCAGTGTTAGCGATAGATCCGCACCCCCTACTTAGGCTGCCCTGGGTCATATGGCTGAGGGTAGAGTAATCCCGGTCATCTGATCTACGGCTAGCAGTGCAGGAATCACATGTTCTATTACTGTATGATTGTGACGTAACATCTCCCTCGCTTTCTCCGCCCGTATAACTGGACTGTTTGGCAGCATGAGATGGCACACGCTTAGGAATTCTATCCTGATTTGCACGAGCTTTGTCAGTTCGTCTATCATAGTGGCTAGAAGGTGACTTGTGTGTATTTCTGTGCATACTGCAATGTGATGCCCGTGATTCACGATCTACCCTGTGGTGTGCATGGTAGGGAGGTAATCTATGAGATTCTCGATCTCTTTTTATGACTCTTCCACTGTCCTCATAATGATCTGATTCAGCGTGACTTTGTGCATGTCTGCTGTATGAGGGTGTTCTGCCATATTCAGCCTTAGATCTCTTTTGAATCTCGTGATCAATCCCTGTTTGGCCATGCCGGGTTGTGCAACGGATTCTTTTAGATATGAGATTTCCTGAGACATTGATTGTATACGTTTGTCAATCATTACAAACATTGAATTTGTTATTTTCTCCGTGAACTCATTTAAGTTAAAGGGGGAGCGTGGCATAGAGTGGAGATCAGTTGCTTCTTCCAAGCCTAGATTATCCACCTTACCATCGGCTACCGGATGTATGTGACAGGCTACACTAAAGTCTGAAAGGTACATCGGCTCCTTAACTATATTGGGAGAGTGGGATGAGCAACGAGATCTCTTCTCCTCAGAAGGCAAGACGGCGTCCCCACAAGACACTCGCTTGTTACCCACGTGATTATCTTTAGTAGTCACAGCGGACTTAATCACTTTTTTACATGAAGCAGAAGAATATTTAGCTGATGCTCTAGTATTCTTTTTGTAATCAGGATCGTTGAGCCATGCCTTGGAAAGTTTTTCAAACTTCTCCTTCGACAAAGGTTCGCAATAACTGCATCTTGATTTTTGCGTGCGATTGCTTTTCTTGCATGATAGGCATCTAGGGTGAGGGTCACCAGGGATTTGATGTTGCCCACAGCCTGAACAGACGGGTATCTGTTTTTGAGATGAAGGTCTCATCCCACAACACGTTCTCTAACTAATTACTTACTAGATCTTTCAGCCTTCTTATGCCCCTGTTCTCTGCTTGTAGAACTGCTCACTGCTTGTCTTTAGTGAAGCTTGAGAAGATCTAGTGTGCTTGTAAGTGTGAAACAGCAATCACGTGTACAGATGTATGCAACAAAATGTTTCCTTGTTGTCATCTGGACACACAGGAAAGAAGTAAGGAGATTCCCACCTTGCCGCATGCGCCCCTGGTGAGGGATAGACTTTTCCTCACAACTAATAGATATGTTGGCAGTGAAGAGGACATCTGTTGAAAATTTGTAAAAAATTGTCGTGTTGATCTCAGCATAAACAAGAATTTATGGCTATGATGTAATAGAGGTAGGGTATTCACAAGAATTATCAAACTTCTTCCTTGGGATATAACGCGGTGCCGGTAAGTATATTTGCCACATCGCTTGTTTCTTTAGCCAATCCTTGGCCACATCTTTAGATACCTTAGCCGCAGTGGCTAATTTTTGTATAGCTCCTATACCTTTCCAATATCCTTGTGGGGTAAAGTAAATTTTATCCATTATTAATTGATATTGATGATTCTTTTAATACGAATCATGACGATTGTTTGTGTGCAGTATTGGGTATATATCTGGCTCCAGTGGAAGTGAGCCAGAACCCCCATCATCTATACTACTACCTTAAAACTACAAAATAGTGCCACAGTGACTTTTTTCAGGTAAATCATTCAATTAGCCATTGCGAAAAACCGAATAGATTTGACTTTTCAAAATATAAAATATATGTTCCTACCTTCCCCAGGTTTAGCTCTTGTTGTTGAATCTTCTCTGAATCCCTCATTTGATTGCAGGAATGTGCTTGGTACCCATCCTTGCTGATCTTCAGTACTGACAAACCACCATCCTGGAACATTTAATCACAACTTTGAACCTTTTTACATATTTAGACATGTAACAATATTTCTGTCTATCATATTTAGCTTGATGGTGATGCTAACTCTTCATCCTTGATCATCTTCATTTATTTTCATAAATGCTGCCTTTATCTTCAGAGAGAGAGAGAGAGAGAGAGAGAGATTACTTGTGTGTCAACACGTACATGAACTGAAATATATACACACACCACATACATACACTGCTACAAACACACACCACATACATACACTGAAACATATACACACACCACATACATGCACTGAAATATATACACACACCACATACATACACTGCTACAAACACACACCACATACATACACTGAAACATATACACACACCACATACATGCACTGAAATATATACACACACCACATACATACACTGCTACAAACACACACCACATACATACACTGCTACAAACACACACCACATACATACACTGCTACAAACACACACCACATACATACACTGAAACATATACACATACTGCATACATACACTGAAACATACACACACACCACATACATACACTGAAACATACACACACCACATACATACACAGAAACATATACACATACCGCATACATACACTGAAACATACACACACCACATACATACACAGAAACAAACACACACCACATACATACACTGAAACATATACACACCACATATATGCACTGAAACATATACCCACACCTCATACAAACACTGAAACATACACACACCACATACATACACAGAAACATATACACATACTGCATACATACACTGAGACATACACACACCACATACATACACTGAAACATACACACACCACATACATACACAGAAACATATACACATACTGCATACATACACTGAAACATACACACACACCACATACATACACAGAAACAAACACACACCACATACATACACAGAAACATATACACATACTGCATACATACACTGCTACAAACACACACCACACACATACACTGAAACATATACACATACTGCATACATACACTGAAACATACACACACACCACATACATACACTGAAACATACACACACCACATACATACACTGAAACATACACACACCACCTACATACACAGAAACATATACATTCCACATACATACACTGAAACATACACACACCACATACATACACTGAAACATACACACACCACCTACATACACAGAAACATATACATTCCACATACATACACTGAAACATATACACACCACATACCTACACTGAAACATATACACACCACATACATACACTGAAACATATACACACCATATACATACACTGAAACATACACACGCCATATACATACACTGCTACAAACACACCACAGACATACACTGAAACATACATTCACTGAAACATATAAAACACCACATACATATACTGCTACAAACACACACCACATGCATACACTGAAACATATACACATAATATACATACACTGAAACATATAAACACACCACATACATAAACTGAAACATACACACACCACCTACATACACAGAAACATATACACACACCACATACATACACTGAAACATATACCCATACCACATACGTACACTGAAACATACACACACCACATACATACAGAGAAACATACACACACCACATACATACACTGAAACATATACGCACCACATACGTACACTATCATATACACACCACATACGTACTGTAACCTTAGGTTCCGGGTACTTTACCCTTCTACCTATGGTCACTTGTCCTTATCTACTACTCCTTGGTTCTAGGGATGATGTAGCTCTCTCAAAATCACAAGTCAGATGGTTTGCTCCAGTCCTTTTTATTTATGATAGAATTAATCATAAATATGCACACATGGTCCTCAGATATGTTCTTGTTGTTGCCTGATATAAATACAACACATACCTAGATGATGCTTTGAAAGGCCTGATGGTTTTTCTGTTGAACGTTTAACTCTGTTTCATTTCTGACTCTGGATCCCAAAACCACAGTGAACCTTTCTATTCAGCTGTATGCTCCCGACTTCCCGCACCACTCTCGGACAACTAACAAAATACTATCGATGATAATTTTAGCTCCTCCCTCCAAAATCACATTTGACATCATGAGAAATGAATCATGAGGGTCATTCCCCAATTTCCATAGTTATTAGTTTTACCATCAAGCTTTTCTTGACTAACCACTTTGATTACCTCTTTAGGGTCATTGGTCAACTTGGACATACTCATATAACCAAATCAAATGGGTACCTCTGCCAGACTGGAAGGCACCAAAAAGATACCCAATCCTGTTATTTAGACATTCCAATAAAGCAGTAGTATTCAGAAATACTTGATCACCACTAATCTAACAATCCCTAATCTATCCATCTGTCTCTCTTCTGACATCTTTATTGCAGGACCGTATTCTACCAATTTCCTCAGACCAACGAAAAGTTATCTCTATCACTCAAGAGAAGCAAAATCCATAATCATATGCCCTGGGGGTTATGCCCTCACCCTGTACGGTCACTTCTCTCATATGCATCCATATTTTTACCCAAAAGCTTAATTTAGTAAACTACATTTTAAGTAAATACTAAAATATGGAATCCCCAAAGCATACACTAACCCTACATTTGCAAATGAAACGAGTTGGTCTTCCGCAGAAAAGAATTACATCGTATCCCTTCTATAATCTCAGGTAAAGGAACATGATTTATTACCATTTAAATTTATTTCCTGTTCTGCTAAGCATTGTTTTACATGCAAGCTGCAATCAGCTGTACACACATTTTCTCCCAATCTACTGGTGATTAGGTTAAGAATTACCCAAATTTACCCTTTGGTACAGCTGATCGGTATTGCTGGATATTTTTTACGTGTGGAACAATTTGAGCAATCACCGTTGAGGCTCCTAAACTAGCTATCGCAAAAACTTCATGTTGACATATGATAGTCAAACTACAACAAATATATCTTTTAATGAGCCAAAGTATGGCATTTATGATACTTGTATGATCTATTCTCTGTCAACTGAACTTCATGTCAATAGTGATCCTCTGAGCGTGGCTGTGCAATCTACCGATCACTTCACACACAATTTTGCTAAATTGAATGCAAACAATATGGAATGAAATTTGTAACAAGCATGAAATACTCACATCCCCCGCCAATATGACATGTCGGGTGTGTGCAATGCATTAGCTCCTGTGAACTATGTTCACTTGGCCTTTTTGTAAAGAAATATAGTATGTTTTTCAAGATCTGCTCTGGAAACGAGGACTACCTCCATTTTCAGTCTAAATCAAAGTCGTTGCCATGGAAACTCGAAAAATAACTTTTAAAAAAATCCAAAACTTTCCAAAGGCACCAGTTCACCACTAGACCTATCAATGTGCAAAATATGGTGAAGAAAAATGGTACGGTTTTTCAAGATCTGCTCCGGAAAAGAGGACTACAACCATTTTCAGTCTAAATCAAAGTCGTTGCCATGGAAACTTGAATTATTATTTTTTTAAAAATACCAAACTATCAAAAGGCATCAGTTCACCACTAGACCTATCTATGTGCCAAGTATGACGAAGAAATATGGTACGGTTTTCAAGATCTGCTCCGGAAACGCGGACTACTGCCATTTTCAGTCTAAATCAAAGTCGTTGCCATGGAAACTAAAAAAAATTGTTTTTAAAAATCCCAAACTATCAAAAGGCACCAGTTCACCACTAGACCTATCAATGTGCAAAATATAGTGAAGAAAAATGGTACGGTTTTCAAGATCTGCTCTGGAAACGAGGACTACCACCATTTTCAGTCTAAATCAAAGTCGTTGCCATGGAAACAAAAAAAATATTGTTTTCAAAAATCCCAAACTATCAAAAAGCACCACTAGACTTATCTATGTGTCAAATATGACGAAGAAATATGGTACGGTTTTCAAGATCTGCTCCGGGAACGAGGACTACTGCCATTTTCAGTCTAAATCAAAGTCGTTGCCATGGACACTCAATCGTGGCGGGGAATAATAATATAGCTTACAAACATAAGGCCAGAAATACGTCGAACCCTTTATATAACCAGAGAGTGTAATTACAAGTTAAATTTGCGTACTTCAGTACAGATTTCTTGACATGGTATTTTCGGTGTTACGTTCTCAAGGTTTTTGTGTGGGGAAAAAAGACATAAAACAAAAATTCCACCCAGGGTATAGGGCAACCCCCCCCCCAATTCTAGGTACGAAAAACTTGCCTTTATCCACAGCGATATATGGTACATACTTTGAAACATACACACACCACATACATACACTGAAACATATACCCACACCACATACGTACACTGAAACATATACACACACCACATAGGTACACTGAAATATACTGAACAACAAAAGTTCCTGTGATATTGAATAAGATTTAATGCAATGTTATGTTTTTACCAAATCTGAAACAATTTCAGTTTGCAACAGATAAAAGACTCCTGTAAGTGTTCAAATGGTTTAATTTGCCATACTGACTTCAGAAAATATGTGATTTCATAAAAATGTCAATTTACAAATCAATGGCATGTGTGTCCACCTGTGGTTGCGATGCAAGCAACACATCTTCGTCTCATGGAATGGACCAGGCTTCACGCAAAGTCCTGTGGTCTGGATCTGTCCATATCTGCTGGAGCATGTTTCGAAGTTCCTAGAGTGTCTGTGGAACAAGTGGTTGATGTCGAAGGCGCCAATCAATCTCATTCCACATGTGCTCAATTGGTGAGAGATCAGGGGAGAGAGCCGGCCAGGGGATGACATTCACATTGTTTTGTTAAAGAGAATCCTGAACAAGATGAGTAATATGAGGCCGGGCGTTGTCATGTTGAAAGGTAATGCCTGGGCCATGACGACGCAAAAACGGTAGAACAACAGGGCCGATGATCTCGTCGCGGTAGCGCTGTCCATTGAGATTTCCCTCTACCACTATCAAACGGGTCCTCTGTCTT